ACCTTTCTGCCCGTTCGCAGCTCAGAAAACGAATATGACCAACCTCATCTCCTTGTGTAGCTGGACATAGACAAGTCCACCAAGAAAAACAGCTACATTTCTCTAAAGAACCCGCCCAGGGCTGCTGAAAGCTCAAAAATAACCTATCTGACAGTTTGGGGCTTTTTACCCGTGAATCTTCACTTTGCGACTAAACTATTCACAGCAGTGTCAAATTTTCCGGGTCACTGCATATGGGTGCCAGTGCCCTACAAGCAAACCAAAAATCAAATCAATGCGACCAATGACATTACAGCTGGGTCATGTTATAGAGAGGTACATTGAAATTCAAAGGTCAGCACAAATGGTCAAAATCCCACATTGTCTCACCTTTCTGCCCGTTCGCAGCTCAGAAACAGACAATGACCATCATCATCTCCTTGTGTAGCTGGACATAGACAAGTCCACCAAGAAAAACCGCTACATTTCTCTAAAGAACCCGCCCAGGGCTGCTGAGAGCTCAAAAATAACCTATCTGACACTTTGGGGCTTTTTACCCGTGAATCTTCAATTTGCGACTTAACTTTTCACAGCAGTGTCAAATTTTCTAGGTCACTGAATGTGGGTGCCAGCGCCCTACAAGCAAACCAAAAATCAAACCAATGCGATCATTGACAATGCAGCTGGGTCACGTTATAGAGACCTACATTGAAATTCAAAGGTCAGCACAAATGGTCAAAATCCCACATTGTCTCACCTTTCTGCCCGTTCGCAGCTCAGAAAACGAATATGGCCATCCTCATCTCCTTCTGTAGCTGGACATAGACAAGTCCACCAAGAAAAACAGCCACATTTCTCTAAAGAATTCGCCCAGGGCTGCTGAAAGCTCAAAAATAACCTATCTGACAGTTTGGTGCTTTTTACCCGTGAATCTTCACTTTGCGACTAAACTATTCACAGCAGTGTCAAATTTTGTGGGTCACTGCATATGGGTGCCAGCGCCCTACAAGCAAACCAAAAATCAAATCAATGCGACCAATGACATTACAGCTGGGTCATGTTATAGAGAGGTACATTGAAATTCAAAGGTCAGCACAAATGGTCAAAATCCCACATTGTCTCACCTTTCTGCCCGTTCGCAGCTCAGAAACAGACAATGACCATCATCATCTCCTTGTGTAGCTGGACATAGACAAGTCCACCAAGAAAAACAGCTACATTTCTCTAAAGAACCCGCCCAGGGCTGCTGAAAGCTCAAAAATAACCTATCTGACAGTTTGGGGCTTTTTACCCGTGAATCTTCACTTTGCGACTAAACTATTCACAGCAGTGTCAAATTTTCTAGGTCACTGAATGTGGGTGCCAGCGCCCTCCAAGCAAACCAAAAATTAAATCAATGCAACCATTGACAATGCAGCTGGGTCACGTTATAGAGAGGTACATTGAAATTCAAAGGTCAGCACAAATGGCCAAAATCCCACATTGTCTCACCTTTCTGCCCGTTCGCAGCTCAGAAAACGAATATGACCATCCTCATCTCCTTGCGTAGCTGGACATAGACAAGTCCACGAAGAAAAACAGCCACATTTCTCTAAAGAACTCGCCCAGGGCTGCTGAAAGCTCAAAAATAACCTATCTGACAGTTTGGGGCTTTTTACCCGTGAATCTTCACTTTGCGACTAAACTATTCACAGCAGTGTCAAATTTTCTGGGTCACTGCATATGGGTGCCAGTACCCTACAAGCAAACCAAAAATCAAATCAATGCGACCAATGACATTACAGCTGGGTCATGTTATAGAGAGGTACATTGAAATTCAAAGGTCAGCACAAATGGTCAAAATCCCACATTGTCTCACCTTTCTGCCCGTTCGCAGCTCAGAAACAGACAATGACCATCATCATCTCCTTGTGTAGCTGGACATAGACAAGTCCACCAAGAAAAACAGCTACATTTCTCTAAAGAACCCGCCCAGGGCTGCTGAAAGCTCAAAAATAACCTATCTGACACTTTGGGGCTTTTTACCCGTGAATCTTCACTTTGCGACTAAACTATTCACAGCAGTGTCAAATTTTGTGGGTCACTGCATATGGGTGCCAGCGCCCTACAAGCAAACCAAAAATCAAATCAATGCGACCAATGACATTACAGCTGGGTCATGTTATAGAGAGGTACATTGAAATTCAAAGGTCAGCACAAATGGTCAAAATCCCACATTGTCTCACCTTTCTGCCCGTTCGCAGCTCAGAAAACGAATATGGCCATCCTCATCTCCTTCTGTAGCTGGACATAGACAAGTCCACCAAGAAAAACAGCCACATTTCTCTAAAGAATTCGCCCAGGGCTGCTGAAAGCTCAAAAATAACCTATCTGACAGTTTGGGGCTTTTTACCCGTGAATCTTCACTTTGCGACTAAACTGTTCACAGCAGTGTCAAATTTTGTGGGTCACTGCATATGGGTGCCAGCGCCCTACAAGCAAACCAAAAATCAAGTCAATGCGACCAATGACATTACAGCTGGGTCATGTTATAGAGAGGTATATTGAAATTCAAAGGTCAGCACAAATGGTCAAAATCCCACATTGTCTCACCTTTCTGCCCGTTCGCAGCTCAGAAAACGAATATGACCATCCTCATCCCCTTGTGTAGCTGGGCATAGACAAGTCCACCAAGAAAAACAGCCACATTTCTCTAAAGAACTCGCCCAGGGCTGCTGAAAGCTCAAAAATAACCTATCTGACAGTTTGGGTTTTTTTACCCGTGAATCTTCACTTTGCGACTAAACTATTCACAGCAGTGTCAAATTTTCTGGGTCACTGCATATGGGTGCCAGCGCCCTACAAGCACACCAAAAATCAAATCAATGCGACCAATGACATTACAGCTGGGTCATGTTATAGAGAGGTACATTGAAATTCAAAGGTCAGCACAAATGGTCAAAATCCCACATTGTCTCACCTTTCTGCACGTTCGCAGCTCAGAAACAGACAATGACCATCATCATCTCCTTGTGTAGCTGGATATAGACAAGTCCACCAAGAAAAACAGCTACATTTCTCTAAAGAACCCGCCCAGGGCTGCTGAAAGCTCAAAAATAACCTATCTGACAGTTTGGGGCTTTTTACCCGTGAATCTTCACTTTGCGACTAAACTATTCACAGCAGTGTCAAATTTTCTAAGTCACTGAATGTGGGTGCCAACGCCCTCCAAGCAAACCAAAAATTAAATCAATGCAACCATTGACAATGCAGCTGGGTCACGTTATAGAGACCTACATTGAAATTCAAAGGTCAGCACAAATGGTCAAAATCCCACATTGTTTCACCTTTCTGCCCGTTCGCAGCTCAGAAAACGAATATGACCATCCTCATCTCCTTGTGTAGCTGGGCATAGACAAGTCCACCAAGAAAAACAGCCACATTTCTCTAAAGAACTCGCCCAGGGCTGCTGAAAGCTGAAAAATAACCTATCTGACAGTTTGGGGCTTTTTACCCGTGAATCTTCACTTTGCGACTAAACTATTCACAGCAGTGTCAAATTTTGTGGGTCACTGCATATGGGTGCCAGTGCCCTACAAGCAAACTAAAAATCAAATCAATGCGACCAATGACATTACAGCTGGGTCATGTTATAGAGAGGTACATTGAAATTCAAAGGTCAGCACAAATGGTCAAAATCCCACATTGTCTCACCTTTCTGCACGTTCGCAGCTCAGAAACAGACAATGACCATCATCATCTCCTTGTGTAGCTGGACATAGACAAGTCCACCAAGAAAAACAGCTACATTTCTCTAAAGAACCCGCCCAGGGCTGCTGAATGCTCAAAAATAACCTACCTGACAGTTTGGGGCTTTTTACCCGTGAATCTTCACTTTGCGACTAAACTATTCACAGCAGTGCCAAATGTTCTGGGTCACTGAATGTGGGTGCCAGCGACCTACTAGCAAACCAAAAATCAAATCAATGCGACCATTGACAATGCACCTGGGTCACGTTATGGAGACCTACATTGAAATTCAAAGGTTAGCACAAATGGTCAAAATCCGACATTTTCTCACCTTTCTGCCCGTTCGCAGCTCAGAAAACGAATATGACCATCCTCATCTCCTTGTGTAGCTGGGCATAGACAAGTCCATCAAGAAAAACAGCCACATTTCTCTAAAGAACTCGCCCAGGGTTGCTGAAAGCTCAAAAATAACCTATCTGACAGTTTGGTGCTTTTTACCCGTGAATCTTCACTTTGCGACTAAACTATTCACAGCAGTGCCAAATTTTCTGGGTCACTGAATGTGAGTGCCAGCGCCCTACAAGCAAGCCAAAAATCAAATCAATGCGACCATTGACAATGCAGCTGGGTCACGTTATAGAGACCTACATTGAAATTCAAAGGTCAGCACAAATGGTCAAAATCCCACATTGTCTCACCTTTCTGCCCGTTCGCAGCTCAGAAAACGAATATGACCATCCTCATCTCCTTGTGTAGCTGGGCATAGACAAGTCCACCAAGAAAAACAGCCACATTTCTCTAAAGAACCCGCCCAGGGCTGCTGAAAGCTCAAAAATAACCTATCTGACACTTTGGGGCTTTTTACCCGTGAATCTTCACTTTGCGACTAAACTATTCACAGCAGTGTCAAATTTTGTGGGTCACTGCATATGGGTGCCAGCGCCCTACAAGCAAACCAAAAATCAAATCAATGCGACCAATGACATTACAGCTGGGTCATGTTATAGAGAGGTACATTGAAATTCAAAGGTCAGCACAAATGGTCAAAATCCCACATTGTCTCACCTTTCTGCCCGTTCGCAGCTCAGAAACAGACAATGACCATCATCATCTCCTTGTGTAGCTGGACATAGACAAGTCCACCAAGAAAAACAGCTACATTTCTCTAACGAACCCGCCCAGGGCTGCTGAGAGCTCAAAAATAACCTATCTGACAGTTTGGGGCTTTTTACCAGTGAATCTTCACTTCAACATTCACTCCACACAACAACGGATCACGGTTAACCGGTTGGTATTTTTTGGAGGGGTTTCATGTGCCCGAAATTTATTAATCATTCGAATCAAATTTTGAAACATCTGAGAGCAAAGTGATACTGTTCCAAGGCAATGATCAGGGAACAAGGGAATAGTGATAAGGTGAGAAACATTTTGAAGTCGTGGGCCGCGGTCACCCTGGGCAACCCGGTGCCCGGCCACCTCTGGGGGCATTTTGCGATGACAACCCGGTGTCATGTGTTTGCCCGAAGCTGCGGGCAGGCGATTGACCGCCAACCCCACATGCCTCCAAGAAAGGGAGTGGCTGGCCGCGGACGCATGGCCGTGACTTGAATGCAACTTAGGCACATGAACCCCGTGAAGCTTCGAACTGCTCTCTACGCTAGCTCTGTCTGCTGATAAGCTGGCATGCCCGACGGGACACGGACGTACGCCTTGTACGCAGAGCTTGACCAGCGCCCTGCCGCTTGAATTTGCCACTCCGGGGCCTGTCGTTCGGCCATGGCCGTAGCACCACCGATCCGCAGAGAATGGCTTGAAACGCCTGGGCCGAGAGCCCTCTTGAGAATGGCGTTCACGTCGCCCGGGGTTAGGTAGCGCCCCTCGCGGAAGGCGAAGAATGGGGCACCTGTATCCGCCCACTCCCTGGCACTTATGTAGGCAGCGACTGAACGCACAGGGCAGGTTGCGGGATACCTGCTTGCATGCAGTAACACTGTGCCCCCAGCGCCCGACTGTGCCGTCTTCGTTACCCCTAGGGTGATCGTGACCTTCTCCTCTGAGAGGGCGACATGGCTCCTCTGAAGAGTCCTGTGAGCATCCATCGTTGTTGGTGATGGCGCCGTGTACTCGCTCACACGCATGAGCCCGTGGAAAGCTGTGAGTACTGCTGCCCAGAGCATGGCCTTGTCTTGCGGTGCATAATGCGAGAACTCCAGGAATTCGCGGATAGCCTTGAGGTCGTTGGGTGTCACCGCACGTCTGGATGACGGAGGCACAGGCATTGGCCTGGACGTCAGCTTGTCACGGTCGATGCCCTTCAGCAAGGCCAGTATCCTGGGTGCTCTGAGCAGATCCACCGGACCATCATTCAATACAAAGTGGTGGCGGACGGCTGCTAGGTATACCCTGATTGTCTTCCCAGACAGTGACGCGGACAGTGACGTCATGAAGAGAACTATATCATTGACCGTCGGTGCCAGATGGCTGAAGCGGAGCTGCTGCGCAAACTGAATGTAGGACCTGACTCCAGGGCTGTAGGTCTGGCGTGTCCGGGGCGCCACCGATTGGGCCAGGAGCCTGCTGGCTTGAGCGTCGAGTATCTCCCTCCTGGTGGTGGCTGGAGGTGAATGATATCGAACCCACCCATCTGCAATGTGGGGACACGGCAGCAGCACCAAACGCAGTGGATAATAAAATAAGCAAGCAGTTAAGCCAGTACGAAGAGCAAAACATGACAGACCATCGCATCGCTGTGCCCAGCTACAATGACTTTGAAGGCAAACTAACTGGCTGCTTGCAATACGTATTTATTTACCGAAGCATCCCGGTATTAATGCGCCGGTTTGGACGCATTTGAGCATCCCGGTGCTCGCCTCACAATCATCAGCGTCCGTCGCCAGTTTGCGTATTTAGAGCATCTTGGTGCCAGCTATACTAAATATGGGCATTTTAGGTATCCCTTTCGCTACCTGCCCATCCTCTTGGGCATCCCGGTGCCGGACTTATTATTACGTGTAACCCGGTGTCCGTCCAGGTGTGATAAGCATCCCGGTGCTCGCTTACCGCTTAATTCATATGGGCATCCCGGTGCCCGCTTGACTAACAATTATAGGCATCCCGGTGCCCCTTACAACGCAACCCGCTCACATATGCATCCCGGTGCTCTCCTTAGTATTGTTACGCGCAACCCGGTGCCCGTCTGGGTGTTAAAGCATCCCGGTGCTCGCTTATGGCTGTGGGCAACTTGGCCCCATACTGCTTGTTTTAGTTCCGCGCAATTAAATGTGAATTGCCGTAAACAGTTAAGAATGCATCACTTAGCCTCGCATCAAGCCCAGGGTGTAACGTGTACGCATCCACGCTAAGGCCATCTTGATGCCGGCCCACATAATTATCGCTCGCATAGGCATCCCGGTGCCAGTCTGAGTGCAATGAGCATCCCAGTACTCAACTTAATACCCTGAATAGGGGCATAGCTATACCACGATGCCAAAACGCCTATGACCGTTGAGAGCCAATTTTTGGTTTTTGCAGGATTGCACTATATGAGCACTGCATAGCCACTTCCTTCCAAAAGAGAGCAGCGAAGCGGGGGGGGGGGGGGGGGGGGGGGGCAGTGTAGGGAGGAGAGCCGCCCGTGCGAAAGGGTGGGCGAATAGTAAGGGAGAGATTGAACTGAGAAATTGGTTTCGGTGTAGTTGGTATGGCAGAAAAAAAATAACAATAAGTCAGTGTAGTGACGGCGAAGGCCAGACACAGCAAAACGGACACCCCATGGGGCTGTGAATATATTGTGAGACATCATTAGACGATCTGAGTTGGCAGTGGAACTGGGTCCGGATTGGCAGACGGAGCTAGCGAGCGGAAGCGACTGAGCTGTAGACGGGAGAGGGCGTCCGCAATACTGTTGTCGATACCTGAGATGTGACGGATCAACAGGATGAAGTTGTAGCGTGCCGCAATACGCAGGGTGGTCCGTATGAGGTTCATGACCTCCAGATTCCGGCATGAGCCGGATTCCCATGCTGTGGCGACAGCTTGATTGTCGCAATGGAGGAGGATCTTCTTCGTCTGCCACTGCGGGCCCCACAATTGCGCGGCCACAGCAATGGGATACATCTCCCGCCACATGATAGAGGAGAAAGGGCCGTGCTGGTGCTCCGGGCCCCATTCTTGGCAAAACCAGGCACTCTGAAAGAAACCTCCAAATCCCAGGCCGGAAGCATCGGTATAGAGCTCAAAGTCTGGGGGCTTCGACCATACTGGGTCACGCAGAAGCGCTCGGCCGTTCCAGTGTGGGAGGAACTCCTTCCACCAACGGATGTCTGCTTGAGCATCGGCGTCCAGGTGCACTTCTTCATCCAAGCCTGTCACGGTGGTGCTGGTATGGATGAGACGACGGGTGAAGGTGCGGCCGGCCGCAACCACTTTGGACGCAAATGAGAGGAGGCCAATTAGTGACAACAGTTGACGTTTCGGGCACGATGGGCTGACCGCCCACTCGTTGAGCCGCGCTTTGATCTCGAGAAGCTTGTCGGCCGGCAGCCGCATTTCCAGAGCCTGAGTATCCAGCTCAATGCCGAGCACTGTCATGACCGTGGCCGGACCGACAACCTTGTCTGCTCCTTCCGCGATGGGAACCCCGAGGTTGGCGAAAACCTCCAGGATGGTGGCCATGTGCACCGCTGCTGTTGATGTGGCGACCACCGGCGCTGGTGGTGAGACGTTGATGAAATCGTCAAGGTAGTGTTCCAGACACTTCAAACCGTAGTTGTGGCGAAGTAGCCAGGCCAATGCTTCGGCTAGGCGGTTGAATAAAGCTGGTGCGGAGCGCAGGCCGAAAGGCAGCACTTTGTCGACATAAAACTTCCCCCGCCAACATATTCCGAGTAGAGGCCAGTCGTTGGGATGAACGGGACAGAGCCGGAATGCATGCTTGATGTCCACTTTGCATAGCAATGCCCCCTTCCCAGTGCGCATGACATGATCGGCCACCGTATCCACCGAGATCATTTGGAAGGAGAAGTCTGAGTTCTTGATGCCATCATTTTCTGCTCCTGCCAGCAGGAGCGGAGAGGTGCATGATTAGGCGGACGCCACCCGACTTCTTAGGTACAACTCCAATGCCAGAGGTGTGAATGGGGAGAACAGGAGGCTCCTCAAACGGGCCAGCCGTATGCCCGCGCTCACATTCCTGGCGGAGATAGTCATCGACTACTTCTGCATTGTCAGCAGCGGAGGACAAATTACGTGACAAAAAAGACTCAGACAGACAGTTGCCAAAACCAATGCGAAAACCAAATTCAAGATCATGCAATAAGGAAGCGACCAACTGGTCATCGGGGTGTGATTCTAATTCTATTTTAAGTGCGCTAATAATGATGGGCGTGTGGGGTTTATGTGCAGATAAAGGAAGATAGGAGGAAGGAGTACTCATGGAGCTACTTGCGGGCTGGGCATTCCTTGGCCGGGTGGGTACCAGAGCAGAAGGAGCAGCAGTGCTTAAAGCGGCATTGATTAAAGGAGCAGTTGCCCGCATTAAACTTGCGGCAGATGGTGGACTGCCCGGGCGTGTGGACACTTCCTCCGCTTGTTGCGCCCGAGGTGGCATGCAGCGTCCGGCTGTCGGAGCCACGAAAAAGACAATTGTTGGCCAGGTGGCCCACCTTCCGGCACTTGGAACACGTGGGAAGTGCCTGGCCCGTGAAACATTCAGTGTACAGCGCCGTGTCAAGTGATGAAAGGGGGGTGCGTGCCCGAGCCACCGATTGCCGCACCCGGATGTCGTACTCAAGCACCGCAGCCAGGCGGTACTTCGCTGCGGCTTGCACAATGCGTAGCTGGTGTTCTGCCAAGCTAGCAGCGCAGGCCGGGTCGTTCGAGGTAGCTATGATTGTGAATATGGACCATGCTTCCAGCCACGAGGCTAAAGAATCAATTCGCCTCTTGGAGGCTTGAGAGGCGGAGATCACCAAGCAATCGCCGTCCTCGGCTAATTTGACCCGCTTAGAGATAGGCTGATCATCGGAGGGCCTCTCGTACTTGGCGGGAAGTAGGAGGGCCAGATCAAAAAACTCGACCTTGCAAATTTTTGAAATGGCTTCATTACTTACATGGCATACGCATGCAGGGAATGCAGGGAATGCGGGGGCAGAATCTAAACTGGCCGGCATCTCAGCACGGGCAGAATCATGAGTCAAAAACATACCGGCTTGATCTGATGGCCCATCAGACGCTCCCCTATCCGGTCCTCGAGATGCGGAGTGGGCCGACAACGCCGACGAGACCGAAGCCGAAATCATCTCCGCAAGTGACCGCTGCTGGTCAGGAGTGAAGGCCATGATGAAACTGGCAGTACGTTCCTAGGAATACGGCTGTGGAAAGACTACTATGCTCCTCGGCAACTGAGGAGGCTAGAGGAAACGACTGGAACAAGTGAAAACAAATTGTTGGTCAGCAATGACACACTCAGTTGCAGCACTTTCACCGGAAAGGGAACCTTGCATTTGTTGTCACACTAACTTGATTTTTTTTTCTCTGTTTCTTATTCTAATTATTGTTATTTTTGCGGGTTCGTTTACTGGTTGCCATGGCGCCTTTGGCTTGTTGGTTTCGTGAATGTTAACTACGGTTTGCAATGTGCAAACCTCCATTTTGCGACTAAACTATTCACAGCAGTGTCAAATTTTGTAGGTCACTGAATGTGGGTGCCAGCGCCCTACAAGCAAACCAAAAATCAAATCAATGCGACCATTGACAATGCAGCTGGGTCACGTTATAGAGACCTACATTGAAATTCAAAGGTCAGCACAAATGGTCAAAATCCGACATTTTCTCACCTTTCTGCCCGTTCGCAGCTCAGAAAACGAATATGACCATCCTCATATCCTTGTGTAGCTGGACATAGACAAGTCCACCAAGAAAAACAGCCACATTTCTCTAAAGAACTCGCCCAGGGCTGCTGAAAGCTCAAAAATAACCTATCTGACAGTTTGGGGCTTTTTACCCGTGAATCTTCACTTTGCGACTAAACTATTCACAGCAGTGTCAAATTTTCTGGGTCACTGTATATGAGTGCCAGTGCCCTACAAGCAAACCAAAAATCAAATCAATGCGACCAATGACATTACAGCTGGGTCATGTTATAGAGAGGTACATTGAAATTCAAAGGTCAGCACAAATGGTCAAAATCCCACATTGTCTCACTTTTCTGCCCGTTCGCAGCTCAGAAACAGACAATGACCATCATCATCTCCTTGTGTAGCTGGATATAGACAAGTCCACCAAGAAAAACAGCTACATTTCTCTAAAGAACCCGCCCAGGGCTGCTGAAAGCTCAAAAATAACCTATCTGACAGTTTGGGGCTTTTTACCCGTGAATCTTCACTTTGCGACTAAACTATTCACAGCAGTGTCAAATTTTCCGGGTCACTGCATATGGGTGCCAGTGCCCTACAAGCAAACCAAAAATCAAATCAATGCGACCAATGACATTACAGCTGGGTCATGTTATAGAGAGGTACATTGAAATTCAAAGGTCAGCACAAATGGTCAAAATCCCACATTGTCTCACCTTTCTGCCCGTTCGCAGCTCAGAAACAGACAATGACCATCATCATCTCCTTGTGTAGCTGGACATAGACAAGTCCACCAAGAAAAACAGCTACATTTCTCTAAAGAACCCGCCCAGGGCTGCTGAGAGCTCAAAAATATCCTATCTGACACTTTGGGGCTTTTTACCCGTGAATCTTCACTTTGCGACTTAACTTTTCACAGCAGTGTCAAATTTTCTAGGTCACTGAATGTGGGTGCCAGCGCCCTACAAGCAAACCAAAAATCAAACCAATGCGATCATTGACAATGCAGCTGGGTCACGTTATAGAGACCTACATTGAAATTCAAAGGTCAGCACAAATGGTCAAAATCCCACATTGTCTCACCTTTCTGCCCGTTCGCAGCTCAGAAAACGAATATGGCCATCCTCATCTCCTTCTGTAGCTGGACATAGACAAGTCCACCAAGAAAAACAGCCACATTTCTCTAAAGAATTCGCCCAGGGCTGCTGAAAGCTCAAAAATAACCTATCTGACAGTTTGGTGCTTTTTACCCGTGAATCTTCACTTTGCGACTAAACTATTCACAGCAGTGCCAAATTTTCTGGGTCACTGAATGTGAATGCCAGCGCCCTACAAGCAAGCCAAAAATCAAATCAATGCGACCATTGACAATGCAGCTGGGTCACGTTATAGAGACCTACATTGAAATTCAAAGGTCAGCACAAATGGTCAAAATCCCACATTGTCTCACCTTTCTGCCCGTTCGCAGCTCAGAAAACGAATATGACCATCCTCATCTCCTTGTGTAGCTGGACATAGACAAGTCCACCAAGAAAAACAGCCACATTTCTCTAAAGAATTTGCCCAGGGCTGCTGAAAGCTGAAAAATAACCTATCTGACAGTTTGGGGCTTTTTACCCGTGAATCTTCACTTTGCGACTAAACTGTTCACAGCAGTGTCAAATTTTGTGGGTCACTGCATATGGGTGCCAGCGCCCTACAAGCAAACCAAAAATCAAGTCAATGCGACCAATGACATTACAGCTGGGTCATGTTATAGAGAGGTATATTGAAATTCAAAGGTCAGCACAAATGGTCAAAATCCCACATTGTCTCACCTTTCTGCCCGTTCGCAGCTCAGAAAACGAATATGACCATCCTCATCCCCTTGTGTAGCTGGGCATAGACAAGTCCACCAAGAAAAACAGCCACATTTCTCTAAAGAACTCGCCCAGGGCTGCTGAAAGCTGAAAAATAACCTATCTGACAGTTTGGTTTTTTTTACCCGTGAATCTTCACTTTGCGACTAAACTATTCACAGCAGTGTCAAATTTTCTGGGTCACTGCATATGGGTGCCAGCGCCCTACAAGCACACCAAAAATCAAATCAATGCGACCAATGACATTACAGCTGGGTCATGTTATAGAGAGGTACATTGAAATTCAAAGGTCAGCACAAATGGTCAAAATCCCACATTGTCTCACCTTTCTGCACGTTCGCAGCTCAGAAACAGACAATGACCATCATCATCTCCTTGTGTAGCTGGATATAGACAAGTCCACCAAGAAAAACAGCTACATTTCTCTAAAGAACCCGCCCAGGGCTGCTGAAAGCTCAAAAATAACCTATCTGACAGTTTGGGGCTTTTTACCCGTGAATCTTCACTTTGCGACTAAACTATTCACAGCAGTGTCAAATTTTCTAGGTCACTGAATGTGGGTGCCAACGCCCTCCAAGCAAACCAAAAATTAAATCAATGCAAACATTGACAATGCAGCTGGGTCACGTTATAGAGACCTACATTGAAATTCAAAGGTCAGCACAAATGGTCAAAATCCCACATTGTCTCACCTTTCTGCCCGTTCGCAGCTCAGAAAACGAATATGACCATCCTCATCTCCTTGTGTAGCTGGGCTTAGACAAGTCCACCAAGAAAAACAGCCACATTTCTCTAAAGAACTCGCCCAGGGCTGCTGAAAGCTGAAAAATAACCTATCTGACAGTTTGGGGCTTTTTACCCGTGAATCTTCACTTTGCGACTAAACTATTCACAGCAGTGTCAAATTTTGTGGGTCACTGCATATGGGTGCCAGTGCCCTACAAGCAAACCAAAAATCAAATCAATGCGACCAATGACATTACAGCTGGGTCATGTTATAGAGAGGTACATTGAAATTCAAAGGTCAGCACAAATGGTCAAAATCCCACATTGTCTCACCTTTCTGCACGTTCGCAGCTCAGAAACAGACAATGACCATCATCATCTCCTTGTGTAGCTGGACATAGACAAGTCCACCAAGAAAAACAGCTACATTTCTCTAAAGAACCCGCCCAGGGCTGCTGAATGCTCAAAAATAACCTACCTGACAGTTTGGGGCTTTTTACCCGTGAATCTTCACTTTGCGACTAAACTATTCACAGCAGTGCCAAATTTTCTGGGTCACTGAATGTGGGTGCCAGCGCCCTACTAGCAAACCAAAAATCAAATCAATGCGACCATTGACAATGCACCTGGGTCACGTTATAGAGACCTACATTGAAATTCAAAGGTCAGCACAAATGGTCAAAATCCGACATTTTCTCACCTTTCTGCCCGTTCGCAGCTCAGAAAACGAATATGACCATCCTCATCTCCTTGTGTAGCTGGGCATAGACAAGTCCACCAAGAAAAACAGCCACATTTCTCTAAAGAACTCGCCCAGGGTTGCTGAAAGCTCAAAAATAACCTATCTGACAGTTTGGTGCTTTTTACCCGTGAATCTTCACTTTGCGACTAAACTATTCACAGCAGTGCCAAATTTTCTGGGTCACTGCATATGGGTGCCAGCGCCCTACAAGCAAGCCAAAAATCAAATCAATGCGACCATTGACAATGCAGCTGAGTCACGTTATAGAGACCTACATTGAAATTCAAAGGTCAGCACAAATGGTCAAAATCCCACATTTTCTCACCTTTCTGCCCGTTCGCAGCTCAGAAAACGAATATGACCATCCTCATCCCCTTGTGTAGCTGGACATAGACAAGTCCACCAAGAAAAAGAGCCACATTTCTCTAAAGAACTCGCCCAGGGCTGGTGAAAGCTCAAAAATAACCTATCTGACAGTTTGGGGCTTTTTACCCGTGAATCTTCACTTTGCGACTAAACTATTCACACCAGTGTCAAATTTTCTGGGTCACTGCATATGGGTGCCAGCGCCCTACAAGCAAACCAAAAATCAAGTCAATGCGACCAATGACATTACAGCTGGGTCATGTTATAGAGAGGTACATTGAAATTCAAAGGTCAGCACAAATGGTCAAAATCCCACATTGTCTCACCTTTCTGCCCGTTCGCAGCTCAGAAACAGACAATGACCATCATCATCTCCTTGTGTAGCTGGACATAGACAAGTCCACCAAGAAAAACAGCTACATTTCTCTAAAGAACTCGCCCAGGGCTGCTGAAAGCTCAAAAATAACCTATCTGACAGTTTGGGGCTTTTTACCCGTGAATCTTCACTTTGCGACCAAACTATTCACAGCAGTGTCAAATTTTCTAGGTCACTGAATGTGGGTGCCAGCGCCCTCCAAGCAAACCAAAAATTAAATCAATGCAACCATTGACAATGCAGCTGGGTCACGTTATAGAGACCTACATTGAAATTCAAAGGTCAGCACAAATGGTCAAAATCCCACATTGTCTCACCTTTCTGCCCGTTCGCAGCTCAGAAAACGATTATGACCATCCTCATCT